CTCCTTTGGCAGAGCACTTGGTAAAGGCAGGAGGCCCGCCCGACACGTCACAGCTCGCAGCTCACAGCACCCGGGAGGCCCTCACTTCCCAGATGTTCGGAGAGGTTCAGGTCCTGGCCCCAGGTCACACGGCATTGAAGAAGGGCCTGTGGTCCCCGCTCACCTCCTCAGCCATCCACGGCTGTGGTTCATTTTATGATTTAACCGCCGCAACGCAGGAGGGGCCTGGAGGCGGGGTGGTCTCACAGCACCTCCAGGAGGGAGGGAACTGAGCCCGCCTCATGGTGGCTACTGACCACATTCTGCAGGGCCCTCTCCCTGGTGGATTCTGGAACATTCCGTCTTCTTGCCCCAGGAACCATCAAAATGTCCCGGAAACTCTAGCTGTACGTCACCCAGAAGGCACAGCCCAGACTCTGTCAGGGCAGGTGCTGCCATGAGCCTCAAGGGGATCGCTCTCCCCAGCTTTCAGTGCCGAGAATTTTTGCGCGTTCGCTGCGCATCCCCGGCCAAGGTCTGGTCACAGGCCCTGCTACTTACCCTACTTCCAGAGAAGTCGGCAACGTGCCCGCGGTGACGGGCCGCCACGGGCAGGGAGGAGAACCCCGCTCCGGCAACGCTCCACCGGCAAAGACACGGGGACGGGGGAACGGGGTCCCCAGCCCTCCGCCCGCCACCCCAAGTGGCCTCTGTGGATGATTCTTGTGGATGCTTCCGGATGTTTCCGTGCGGATACACCCTGTGCGTGCTCACCCTTTAAGAAAAGGCAAACTCCGGCAAGACTCCGCCCGGGGCCTTTCTCCGCTGGGCTCGTGCGCGTCCGAGGACACGGGGTCTCCTCGCCCGGTGCCTGGACGCGGGCGTGATTAGCTCTTCCTTGGAGAGTTAACGGGATCAGAGCGAAACCAGCACCGCCGCCAGGCATACAGTAAGTGCCAACTTGGGGCCAGCCTACACCTGGGAACTCCCGGAACGCTCGTTGCCTCCGCGGCGCTCCTGGGTTCTCCCTGCGCACTGGCTCACCCGGCCTGCCTGCAGCCCCGGGGGGATGAGGACAGGGCAGGACGGGGCAGGTCGGGCCGGGGCCGCTGTTCGCTGGCGCACGCGGGTCCTTCATCGCTGACAGCTCCTGCGACTACCGCGGAAGGTTCTAGGGCCGTGCATCAGGGGCACCATGAGCAAGGCGGCCGCGTGACGAGGAACCTAATCTGTACTTTCGCTCCATTCGACTCCACGTGGTGCCCAGTGTCCGTGCAAGACGCACGGCCCCAGCATGTACCCCCCACCCCCCCGAGGTGCCAGACTGCAGGTGGAAAGGGTGCTCCTCCCCTTCCGCCAGAGGGGCGCCCACCTGCCTGCCCGCCTTCTGCCCAAACAGGGTCCCCCGCTCCCCAGAGCCATCTAGGGAGGCGCCACCGAGAGCCGGTGTCCCCACGACCTGGGAACAACACCTCCTTTCTCCGAATTGAAAGAAAACAGCGTCCTCTGGAAGCAAACCTTTTAAACAGATGTTTCCTCTCGGCCCCCCCTCCCCCCCAGGCCTCCCTCGAGGTGGGGCCTGCTCGCTCTCACACCCTGGCCCCGGGGAGACCGACGGATTTCAGTTCTTTTTAGGAAAGGGGAGGAAGACGTTTTTAAAAATGTGTTTTACAAGCCTGGCTTTGCCATTGTTTATGTAAACAGGTAAATTGTTTCCTGCCTCAATTAAAAACATCTGCCACATAAATGAATACCAATTAACTCATCCTGTTTTTAATCACTCTGTTAATTACACGCAGGCAGCAGAAAGGACGGCTGGGAGTAGGAAAGCGAGTGCGGTCCCTCCCCCAGCTTGGCAAGGATCTGGAATGTGTCTGGCTCCTGGTGGAGGAGGGTGGCAGGGAGGTGGTGGCAAAGCGCCAGCCGGGATTCCCCGATCTGGGGCTGTCGCGCGGGCACCTCTTCCCGGGGCCCCTGGCTCACCGCGAGGAAGGCGGAGGCCCTCCTGTCCCTCAGGCACTGAAGACGGAGGACGGGCCTTCAGGGCGCCCCCTCACATCTCGGCGCCCTTTTGCCGGGGGAGGGGGGCCTGGATCTCGCCCAGGAAGGCCTGTCTGCAGGGGATCGGGGACCCCCTAAGAGCGGGTGCCGCTGGCAAATAACAGCGGGGGCAGCGGCTGCTGACGGACACCTTGCCGAATGCCTGCCTTGCCCGAGCCTGGAGCCCTCAGGGCCGCCTCCGGGGAGCACCCCCGCCCCTGCCAGCATTTCCTACCAGCCTCACCCTCCTCCTCAGCCTCTACTGCGGGCCGTAACCCCCCGGCCCGGCCCGCCCGCTTCACCGTCCGGCCCAGGGCACGCGGAGGCTCGTGGGAGGCGGGCACAGCCCATCCAAGGCCCCGTGGCCCGCGCCTGCCGGAGCAGGGTTTACACCAGGACTGCAGTTCCAGGGCCTGTGGCGAGTAGCGTGGTCTACACCACAGCGGCCACGCTCGGGCTCTCTGCTTCCTGGGGCACCTCAGGGTCCTCGCTCCACCCGCAACGGCACATCCCGCCTCCCAGGGATGCGAGCGGCTGTCGGACCCGTTCCCATCTCTTCCCCAGGTTTGCCGGTTTACAGATGCTGAGACGGTCAGGTCCTGTCCGGGCTGAGGCGCCGACAGCTCTGCACCCACGTGCCAAGTGCAGGCAAGAAGTGGGCACAGGGCCGCTCGGGAGAAGGAGGTATGCTGTTGGCTCAGGCGGACCCGAAGGGAAGGGAGGGCCACGGTCCATCGGCCACGTCTGCCCTGGGCATCAGCGTGGCTCGAGAGGGTATGCTGTCCGTGTATGGGCACATGAGGGTCCGGCTCACCCCTCACTCCACCAGTGAGAAACCCGATGTCCCCAGTGTCCTAGAACATTCTGCCTATCCTACTACGTGTGGGTGTCTGTTTAGGGGGCTGCCTGCGCCGGGGGGCCTTCTCAGAGCGGTGAGTCGGCGATACACAAGAGATGGGCCAGAGTCTACCCCGTGCCATCCCTGGGGGCAGATCCCTTCCAAAGCTGGGTCCCAGTGCAGCCCTCAGGACCGGTGACCGGCCCCTGCTGGGATCCAGTTCCAGCCTCGGAGGGAGGACAGGCAAACAGCCGATGCTACGTGGCTGACAAGACATTAACTGGTCCAATCCTTCCAACGGCCTGTGAGGTCGTTGTGTCATTTAATAATCATAGTGAAAACCTAAAACGTGTCACTCCTCCCATCGTATACATGGGACAGCAGAGGCACAGAGAGGTTCAGTAACCGCCCAAAGCACACAGCTAAGCAGGCCGGAGTGGGGGTTATGACCCAGTCCGTGCAGCTCCACACAGGCCCCTGCCTGAGCTCACACAGCTGCCTGGGCCCAGCCTGGTCCTACCGATGCCCCAAGCCTCCCCGGTTTGGCAAGCAGGGAGGGGAAACCTCGCAGGGTGCCCCAGCCAAGCAGAAGCTGGGGAGGGGTTGGGTACAACCCTCGGCTCTGAAGTCCGCTGTGTGCCCACCTCCCGGCCATGGGCCGTGGGCATGGCCCTCTGCCGGGTGTGGCCCCAACATTTCCCCTCGGAGATGGAGGGGCGCTCGCCTCTGCTTCGAAGCGCGGGCATGCGGACTCGGCCCTTCTGCAGGTCTCTCCCTCCTGCCTCCTCTTCCAGGCAGGCCACCAGGCTGACCTGTGTGTTGGCTGGCGGTCTCCTGGGCCACTGGGGGGCCAAGGCCCCATTTCTCAGGACCCACCCTGCACGCTGTCCGGGAGACTTGCACGCCCAGACCTTGGCCTGGGGTGGAGGTCTCCAGACCTTCTGGAACGTACATTGCCTTTCCACACCCAGCAGCCATCATGAGGTCTGGGCTGTTTCCCTGGGGCCTTCTAACTGATTTGAGCAATAAATTGCATCTAATAGCAGTGAAGTCATTTGGGGGCAGGGACTCCCCACAGCACGTGGGGCAGCACTGGGCCCACGGAAGCAGCAGAGGGTCCTGACACGGGGAGGCCGGCTTGCCAACCCTGAGCCTGTCTCCGCCCCCATTGGCTCTCCCAGGGGCAACAGGAAGCAGGGTGTCCCCAAGGCCTGTCCTTCCAGGCTGGGAGACCCCTGGCCAGCTGCCCTGGGTGGTCCGGACGCGGGGGTCTCGCCCACTTGGGGGGAGGAGCCCCACCTCCACCGGGGGGTGCGGACCGAGGGGCGCGGAGTGCAGGAGGGGCTCCCCCATCCGCAGGAAGCTTTTCCGCCCCGTCCGAGTCCCACGGGGAACTCGGGCGGCGGGTGTGGACCTGGGAGAAGGCTGACGCCGGGGGTCAGTGAGCACTCACTGTGCCCGCCCCGGGCTCCGCGTCCACCCCCGGCACCAGCCCCCGGGGCGGGACTGCTGGGCCGTTTCCCAGGACACAGAGAGGGCAGGAGCCTGGACCCCGGGCACCGCACGGCTCCCATCCCTGCTGGCCCCTGCCCCCCCCCCCCCGCCCCCGGCCTTGGGAAGGCGCCAGGCGGGCAGATGGGCCCCGTGCTGGCGCAGCCGCGGTGGCAGCTGTGCTGGGGGAGGGGAGAGCCAAGCCGGGCCCTGCCGCCTCCCGGCCTCCCGCGTAAGCGGGAACCTTCTGGATGTTTTGACTCATTCCACCAAATAGTCTCACAGAACCTCGAGGGGATCTGGGGTAGGTTCCTGCTGAGTCAAACAGCCCTGCGGGGATTTTCTGAGGCCTCTGAGGCTGGTGGAGGCCTGGTCTCCCATTGGACGGTAGGGAAACCCCAGGCTTGGGGAGGCTGGGGACAGGCCCTGGCTCCCATCTGCGTCCTCCCCCCACCCCCCGCCCTGACACACACGGGGAGTCCAGCATCCTTCTGGACTTCGTCTCCTGGGTGCCCTCGGGCTGGGCCCCACGTCACACTGCCCCCACTCTGCGTACTGTGACAGTGTTCACGGGGACTTATTTTGAAGAGACAAGCCGAGAAGGGCGGGGTAGAAAGACAAGGGTCCCGGCCTCGAAAAGGCCCCCCACCTGCCCCACCCTCCCCGGCAGGGCGGCTCCTCAGGAGGAGGGTCCTGGTGCACGGCAGGTGCACCCTGAATGTCTGTTGGACTCACTGTCCCCTTCTGTGAGATGGGAGTGAGCCCGCCATTCTGACAGGCCGCTGGGACGACCACCCGCTAAGGCAGACCTGACACGGGAGGCGGCACCCCAAGCTTCCGGAAGCCACGGCCAGCGGGTGTGCCCAGCACGGGCGTGCCCAGCATGCGTCCAGTAGGCGTGTGCTCAGTTTTTGCTGAGCAAAGTCAGCCCATCTCGACAGGACAGACACTGTAAGGTCCCACTTACACGAGGCCCCTAGAGAGTCAGATCCACAGAGACGGTAACAGATGGGGTCCTGGGGCGGGGGGAAGGGGTGTTTCATGGGGACGGAGCTCCAATTGGGAAGATGAGAAAGTTCTGGAAGCGGATGGTGTGATGGCTGCACAGCATGAAGGTACTCAATGCCCCTGAACTGGACGCTGAGAAATAGTTAAGACGGTCCATTTTATGCCCTGTGTATTTTGCCACACTTAAAAAACCTAGTGGGGAGACTGAGGCGGGCAGGATGCGACTCCCCACTTCCTCCTCCCAGCCGCCCGCCCACACTGCTAACGGCACAGGGTCAGGTCACGAGCGCAGCGTGAGGCACACGTGTGTGTGACAGGAGCCGGGTCGACCTTCCCCCCTCGGTGGCCACGGCCTGCCCTCCCGGCAGTGCCAGTGTGGAAGGACACGGCCCCCCTCTTCCTAGGCTCTGTGTCCTCGCTGACCCCAACTCTGGCTCCCCTCGGGCTGCAGGTATCGGGAGTGGGGAGGGTGACACGGGGGCCTCGGTGTCCCCTACACTCCACGTACGCAGGCAGGCGCGAGGGGCCGGGAGGGACCCTAAGGAGAGGTCTTCCCAAATGACCTCGCGAACCGGGAGGTCTAATTGGGCTGGAGGCCTTGTGCTGTGAGGATTACCAGGCAGGGGAGGGGTCCAGCTAGCACCTTCAGGGGCCTCAGACCCTTTGAGAATCAGATAAAAAGCCCTGCGAATACAGGTTAGTGCAAGTCAGGTCCGGGACTCCACAGCCACCGCCTGACCTGTGCCCTCAACCTCAAAGCCCCCCGACACCGAACAGCTGTGACCTTGACTTAGAAAGAGGAGCCGTGCCTACGCTGACCAGACCGTGCCAGGCGCTGTGCTGGGTCCCTCGACCGGGTGTGTAACTGCCAGGACTGTTGGCATGCTCACAAGGAGCTTTTACGTGGATAGAGAAGAGCCTGAGAGACCGGGCCACACGGTGTGCGGAGTGAGGACCAGCGTGCGGGCAGTGTGGCGACGGGCGTCCTGGGACGGTCCCTGTAGATGGTAGCGACAGGCGTCCTGGGACAGTCCACACAGATGTGCAGTGACAGGTGTCCTGGGACAGTCTGTTAGATGGTAGTGACGGGTGTCCTGGGACAGTCCTTGTAGATGGTAGTGACGGGTGGCCTGGGACAGTCCCTGTGGATGGTTGTGACGGGTGGCCTGGGAAGTCTGTTAGATGGTAGTGACAGGTGTCCTGGCACAATCCCTGTAGATGTACAGTGACAGGTGTCTTGGGATAGGCTGTTAGATGTGTAGTGACAGGCATCCTGGGACAGTCCCTATAGATGTGCAGTGACAGGCATCCTGGGACACTCTATTAGATGTGCAGTGACAGGTGTCCTGGGACAGTCCGTTAGATGCGTAGTGACAGGCATCCTGGGACAGTCCCTATAGATATGTAGTGACAGGCGTCCTGGGACAGTCTCTGTAGATGGTCGTGATAGGAGTCCTGGGATATGCTGTTAGATGTGCAGTGACAGGCATCCTGGGACAGTCCCTGTAGATGGTAGTGACAGGAGTCTTGGGACAGTCCGTTAGATGCGTACTGACAGGCATCCTGGGACAGTCCCTATAGATATGTAGTGACAGGTGTCTTGGGACAGTCTATTAGATGTGCAGTGACAGGTGTCCTGGGATAGTCCCTGTAGATGGTAGCGACAGGCGTCCTGGGACAGTCCACACAGATGTGCAGTGACAGGTGTCCTGGGATGGTCTGTTAGATGTATAGTGACAGGTGTCCTGGGACAGTCCTTGTAGATGGTAGTGACGGGTGGCCTGGGACAGTCCCTGTGGATGTACAGTGACAGGTGTCTTGGGACAGTCTGTTAGATGTGTAGTGACAGGCATCCTGGGACAGTCTGTTAGATGTGCAGTGACAGGTGTCCTGGGACAGTCCGTTAGATGCATAGTGACAGGCATCCTGGGACAGTCCCTGTAGATGGCAGTGACAAGTGTCTTGGGACGGTCCATTAGATGTGTAGTGACAAGTGTTCTGGGACAGTCCATTAGATGTGCAGTGACAGTTGTCCTGGGACAATCTCTGTAGATGGTCGTGACAGGAGTCCTGGGATAGGCGGTTAGGTGTGCAGTGACAGGCATCTTGGGACAGTCCCTGTAGATGTGTAGTGACAGGTGTCCTGGGACAGCTCGTTAGATGTGCAGTGACAGGCATCCTGGGACAGTCCCTGTAGATGGTAGTGACAGGAGTCCTGGGACAGTCCATTAGATGTATAATGACAGATGTCGTGGGAAAGTCCCCATAGATGGTGGTGATGGATGTCCTGGGACAGTCTGTGTAAATATGTAGTGACAGGGTCGTAGGTCATTCCATAAGACGTATACAGTGACAGATATCCTGAAATAGTCCATGCTAGGGATGTAGGGACAAGCGTCCCAGGACAGACATGTAGTTCTATAGTGACGGGCATTTTGGAGAAAGTCCATGTATGTGTAGTGACAGGCATTCAGGGTCACTCTGTTAGACGTGTAGTGATAGGCGTCCTGGAGCTAAAGTCCCATCTCCGAGTCCTCTGTTAGTCCTGTCACTGGACACTGACTTAGGTCTCTGGCTTGTGGGGCCCTCGGTGGAGCCGGTCTGTTCTCACACCTGCATCTGTGACACTTTACACAGCCGTGACTCTCCCCACTTCTGGACACAGAGGCCGGCCCCTGGGCTCCCCACGAGTGCCCCGGAGAAGCGGCCCTCTGGACAGCCAGCTCAAAGGTCACACGTCCTTCTGACCCGGTAGTCACACCCTCACACACACTTTTGTGCACAGTCCTCACGTGCACACTCACACGCAGGAGGACTCCCTGGGCAGGGGGACGGTCCGGTCCCGGTCCCGGGGGTGAGCTGCTCTCCCGGCTGGACACCACCCACCCGCACGGGGACCTCCCCCCGCCTCCCCTTCCTCGTCTGGCAAAGCGAAGGTGGTTGGGAAATGCGCCTGTTTGGGCTTGACTGTTCCACCAACACACCAGCTGCTGGACAGAAGTGGCCTCTTTGCTGAGGCTGGTCGCTCCAGGCCAGGTGTGCGGGGCGAGGGGCAGCCGGTGTGGCCTCTCCTGGACGCGTACACCATCTGGAGACTGACCAGGACTTGGGGTCACCCCGGATGCCTCCCTTAGCAGTCTGACCCTGATCCCCCCACTCAGTGACCTGTGTCTGTCCTCCTCACGGCCTCTGTCTCCCCATGTTCTTCCCTGGGCGGCCTTCTCAAAATGCTGATCTGACCAGCCCCGACCCCGTCCAGCCAGGCTCAGGGGGCTTCCGTGGGCCTCTGTGACTCCAGGGACAAAAGCCAGAGCGCCCTCTGCGTCCACTGTGCCCCACGGCGCTGCCGTCTGGCTCCACCACTCGGCTGCTGTCTCTGCTGCCTGCCCTTCCGCGGGGCTGTCCCCAACCTCACACCGCGCAGCCCCACCCCAGGGCTCATCTGTGTGGTTTGGGAATCCCTGCACCCCGGGCCCTGTCCTGCCCAACGCAGCGCCATGAGCCGCCCGAGCTGGCTGGGCAGAATTGAAACACCTCGCCCGTAAGACGCGTACACAACTTCAAAGTCTCTAAAAAAAAAAAAAAAAAAAAAAAAAAAAAAAAGAAAGCTCTCAGCGATTTAAAACACCAATTGCAAAGCGAAAAGACAACATTTTGGAGACATTAGCTTGAACAACATGTGTCGCTAAAGGTGCTGGTGTCCTTTTCTAACGCGGCCACGATCTAAACTCTCAAACGTGGCCGCCCTCTGTCTAGGCCACGGGTGCCCTGCTCGCGGGCGCCGGGCACACTTCCGGGCATGCGGGGCCGGTGTAAGCCGGGGCGCCCTGGAAGGAGCTGTCCTCCAGAACGCCTCCTGTAGCACGCAGCCTGGGGCCCCAGGGGCGCCCAGGAAGTGGACCCTCTGACTCAGATCGCGGGAGCAAGCAAATGAGACCCTAAACCTCCGCGAGGCACCCAGACGGGCCATGTCTTGGCGATAGGGACTCCCTGCGCCCAGTTGGGCGGCGGGCCCGCGGAGAGGGTCTCAGCCAGACCTCCCCACCCCCGCCCCGAGCCGCCACAAGAGGGCGCGCTTCCCGTACAAAAGGCGGGAGCCTGAGGCCACCACAGGGCCAGGAGGTGTGTGACACGGGGCCTCGCAGGCTCCGGCGGGGTGTGACCGGTCACACCAGACGGCCGCCCCTGGGCGACGGCCCCCCTGCTCCCTGCCTGCGGACCAGAGCCTGCCGGGGCCCCTGCGAGGTGTGAGCGGCACAACCCAGCCGGTTGCTTCCACCCAGGGCTCAGAAGGACACGTTCTCCCAGACAGCAGAAGGGCCACCTGCCGACCTGCGGCCTCACCGGCCTGGGACGCAGCCAAACCCTGCCCTGGGGTGGCCAGTGCCCGTTCCGACTGCTCAGATGCAGGGGCATGACGGGAAAGGGCTGTGGAGGGCGGCAGGGGCGGCCAAGGGAAGTGGGGGCTGCGGAGCCCCGAGGCCTGGCGAAGGACTCCTCGCCTCCGGCTGTCTGGGGGGCCTGGTGTGGCAGAAACACAGGGGCACCAGGGGCAGGCGACCTGGGTTCCTGAGCTGGAATCCCACCTCCGCCACCAAGGCCCAGCTTCAGTGTCCCCGCCACGAAGCAGGCACGGGGCCTCAGCTGTGCTGCAGGACACGGATGCAGGGCGGGTGAGCCCCTGCACAGGGCTGGCTGGGCAGAAGGGACACCAGGGTCCTCCCTCCGCAGGGCCACCTGATTCCCACAGTCGCCAGAGGGCACCGGCATGGCGCTGGGTACTCCCCAAAGGCGGGGACGCGACAGCCACGTCCACAAGCAGCCATCAGCAAGGACAGCCCACGTGCCAGATACACCTCAGCACAATCGGAAGGGGGAGGAGCCCGCGTGGCTGCATTTTGCATGTGAAACTGGAGACACAGAGAGGGTGAGACGGCTGGTGTCGTCACACAGCCACTGGGAGGGGAGCGGTGGGACTCAGAGAAGTCAGCCTGCTGCCCGTCCCTCCCCGCTGCCTCAGCAGATGGGGCAGGGCCTCCCCGAGCTGGGTGGGGGCCTAAGGCCTCCTCTGCTCCGGAAAACGGCCGCTTGCTGCTGCTGGGGAGAAGGGCCCACGACAGCTGGAGGACTTTCCTTCCCAGGCTTGGCTTCGCCCAGGCTTTCCCGGCTGCTCCCGGGTCAGGAGTGACCAGCAGGGACTTCCCCGTGGGTCCCGTTCAGGGCCTCGGGCTCACAAAGAGCCCCCCTCGCCGCCCCCACCCCCACGTCTCCTGCCCTGCCCCTGCCGAAGGCTTTTCCTCTGTCCCAGCAAACAGATGACCACCCGAACCTCCTCCTGCCACACCCAGCAGGTTCCCAGCCTCAGGGGCACCCCAGACTCCCGGCCGCGGACAGCCACCCCGCGAGCGAACTGTGATGGGGGGTGGGGGGGGGACGCGGCGGCTGAGAACGTGCGGGTCAACGGCAGAGCCAGGAGAGGCGTCTTCCTTATTACGGCCAAACCAAATGCAGATCTTTGTTTTCCTTCCCAGTGACATCTGGCTCCCCGTGAGGCCCCAGGAATTACAAAAAGCAGAAGTCTTAACTTCTGTTTTATTGCTGCAGGAAACTGCTGCAGACAGCGCGGGGTGGGAAGCGTCTTCGCGGCCCGTCGCAGGCGGAGGCTCAGCCGTTTGCGCCCGGGGCCCGGGTCGGGCTGGGCACTCAGAAGCAAGAACGAGGAAGCAGCTATTTATCACTTTTACATCATGAGTCTCCACCCCGCGGGCCAGGCCTCTGCCTGGGTCTTTCCACTGAGACTACGAAGGCCGTTTCCAGTCCAGGAACTTGTCTCCAGACGGCCCAGCCCCCGCTTGCAGCCGTGCTCTTGGCTAACGGCGGCCCTCGGAGGCACTCGGGGGCCGGGTCGCCTCCTGCAGCCCCGCCGCCCTCTCCCAGCCCCGCATCCCAGCCCCGGAACCTCGGAGGTAATCAGAAGTGTGGGGTCAAGATCCCGGGTCAAGATCTGGAGGTGCGGTTCGCCAGCTCGAACGGGACAAAGGACAGCCCGGCAGCCGGTTCCTTGGGGCACGGTGCTCGCCCGGTGTGGCTGCGATCCCAGAGACCCACTGCCCCAAAAAGGAGCCTCAGGCCCATGAGCCCCGGCCCTCCAGGGTGCACCCCAGATGCACATCCGCCAGTCATGAGTTTCCAGCCTCCTCCTGCCGCCCCCCCCCCCACCCCCCGGACACATCAGAATCTGTGGGGACTCTGAGTAAGCCACACACCCGTGGTCTCCCACCCCCGTCCCTCCGGGAGGCCACACTGTGCGTAGACAGTGACGGGGCCTGACGCGACACGCGGGACTCTGCAAAAGCTCGGGGGGCCTGTCCGCCCTCCGGCTACAGGAGCAGCACCGGGCACCTGCCTGCCTCCAGCGAACCTCTCTGGGCCTCGGGGTCCCCGCCTGGAAAATGGGACAGCAGTCACCTTCAGGGTTGTCGGGAGATTACATGAGAGGAAGCCCAGCCCAGCACAGCCTGCGTGCCGGACGCGTGAGCTCTGGTTGTTACCCTTTTGTCCCCGTGGGCACGACACGACCCACATTGCGTGTGAGCTGCGCGTGGTAAACACTCTCTGGGGCCAGTTCTATCCAGTCGCGTGCGATCAGGGCAGGGCCACCCTCCTGACACTCACAGCTCACGGGGGCCAGAACCCTCCGCCCCCAGGCCTGAGAGGTGACACTAGTTACACAACAATGCTATGTGTGCGCACCCTCCTACAGTAGCAGACAAGGTCCTATCCTCCCACAGGGTGGGGGAGGACCAGGGCGCCGGCCTTGGCTTCCACGACCCAGACCCGGCAGAGGTGCTCTCCCCCTGCCCTAGGGAGTCTCTGACTCCAGGAGGCGCCACCCCTCACATCAGTCACAGCTGTGCCCCAGGTGCCTGAGGCCGTGTCAGGTGGGGGTCTGACTTCTGGGGCACTGACCGCTCCCTGCAGGTGTGACCGCTCCCTGCAGGACAGGGAGCACGGGCACGGGGAGGCCAGCTCACGGCGGGGGCAGCGCTGGGGAGCCTCTGGCCGCTGGGGACTCCCTGTGGGGAGGGGGCGGGGCCGGCAGGCAGGCTTGGGCTCCCCTCTGAGCTGGACAAGGAGGGGCCAGCGCCTCTCTGGGCGTCAGTGAACTAAAGTTTCGCCACCCTCGCCGGTTGTCCCCCCACCTCTGGCAGGGAGTGTGAGTGCTCGGGCTGCTGC